GAGAATTGCTTGAGCCTGGGAGGTTGCAGCCATAGGGAGCCATGATCACACCACTGTACTGCATTCCAGCCTGGGCAAGAGTGAGACCTTGTCTCAAAAAAAAAAAAAAAAAAAAAAAAATGACCTATAAGGTGCATGTTTCTTTTTCTCATTTATTGAATCATTTGTGCTTTAAATATTTATTGAGCATACATTTCATAGCAGGCATTGGGCTAAGTGCTTGTATCAGTTGTCTGTTACCACAAAAAATGCTATGTAGCAAACCATTCCAGAATTCAACAGTTTAAAACAAAAGTCTGTGGATCTGCTGGGAAGTTTGCTCCTCTGGGTCAGGCTTTGTTGATCTTGGTGGGGCTTGCTCATGTGAGGGTAGCCTCATTCCAGTGTCCGGCGTCAGCTAGTTGTTGGCTAGGGCAATGAGACCGCTAGAGTAGTAGTCAGCTACCAGCCAGCAGGCCAGCCTGGGCTTGTTAACAGGACAGTGGATTCCAGGAGGGGGATGAGGAGCTGCAAGCCTCTTAACCCATAAACGGCAGAAATCACTTCAGTGGGCTGAATCCAGTGGCATTCCATTGACTGAAGTCACAAAACTAGTCAGATTCCAAAGGTAAGGAATGATAATTCACTATCTTTTTTCTTTTCTTTTTTTTTTTAGAGTCAGGGTCTCATTCTGTCACCCAGGCTGGAGTATAGTGATGTGATTGGTGTGATCATAGCTCACTGCAGCCTCAATGTCCTGGGCTCAAGTGATCCTCCCAGCCCAGTCTTCTGAGTAGCAGAGACTACAGATGTACACCACCATACCTGGCTAGTTTTTAACTTTAAATTTTGATAGAAGTCTGGTGGGGGTAGGGGTGTCTCACTATGTTACCCAGGCTGGTCCCAAACTCCTGGCTTCAAGTGGTCCTCCTGCCTCAGCCTCCCAAAGTGAGAGATTACAGGAATGAGTCACTGTACTGACCAAGAATCTGTTACTTGATGGGAGAGGCTTTAAGTCACATTTCAAAAGGCTTGGATATGGGTGAAGGATGATGTCAAGTTTTGGTGCGATTTTTGCAGTGAACATACAGGCAAATCCCTGCCCACATTCTAGTGGTGGGAAACAGGAAATTAGAAAATTATATGCATTGTTATATATATTATGACTCAAGCAGGGGAGGGAGGACAGTGGTGCCATATGTGTCTCGAGTGGGGGCTACTGGTTTGCATAGAATGCCCAGACTCTCTCTCATAAGATGCCACCTAAGCTGCAACCTGAAGGAGGTGAGGGAGTAAGTCATGTGGGGCCATGTGTGGGAAGAGAGTTCCAGGCACAGGGAACAGCAGGTGTGCTGGGCATTTAAAGAAAGAGCATAGAGGGCCAGGTGTGGTGGCTCACTACTATAATACCAGCACTTTGGGAGGCCGACGTGGGCGGATCACCTGAGATCGGGAGTTCTAGACCAGCCTGATCAACATGGAGAAACCTCATCTCTACTAAAAATACAAAATTAGCTGGGCATAGTGGTGCATGTCTGTAATCCCAGCTACTTGGGAGGCTGAGGCAGGAGAATCTCTTGAACACGGGAGGAAGAGGTTGTGGTGAGCCAAGATCGTACCATTGCATTCTAGCCTGGGCAGCAAGAGCGAAACTCTGTCTAAAAAAAGAAAAAAAATTACCCAGGCATGGTAGCAGGTACTTATAATCCAAGCTACTCAGGAGGCTGAGATGGGAGAATTGCTTGAACCTGGGAGGCAGAGGTTACAGTGAGCTGAGATTGTGCCATTGCACTCCAGCCTGGGAAACAGTAAGTGAGACTCCTTCTCAAACAAACAAACAAACAAAAACCAAACAATAAAAAAATTAGCTGGACATGGTGGCACATGCCTGTAGTCCTAGCTACTTGGGAGGCTCAGGTGGGAGGATTGCTTGAGCCCAGGAATTCAAGGGAGGCTACAGTGAGCAGTGAGCTATGATCCTGCCACTGCACTCCAGCTGGGGCAACAGAGCAAGACCCTGACTCAAAAAAAAGCCCAGAAATAATAAATAGCAATAATTTGAGCAGTGTGTCATGTTAGATGACATGTGGAGAACCACAGGCACATATCACAGGTTCAGATCAAAGGTGAAGGGTGTGGCAGTTTTAAAAAATGACCACAGATGCTTTGACACTCCTCCCTTTGAGCCTCACTCCCTGTGAGGCTGGCGTGGCGCATGGCAGAGGTGACATTATGGGACTTTTGAGGCCGGGTCATAGATGGCAGTGTGGCTTCTGTTTTGTTTGCTGGAGCACTCAGGAACCTGGCGCTCCCATGTAAGGAGTCTTCCCGGTCCAGGAGCCGGGACTTGCACTAATGAACCTTTGGAAGATTCCAACCCTGAGCCATGTGCATCTTCCCAGCTGAGCCCTAGACATCATAGAGCAGAGACAAGCTGTCTCTTCTGTGCCATTTTCCAACCCTCTTGATTCTGCAAGCATGGTATAATGGTTATTGCATCCTGCTAAGTTTTAAGACAGCACAGTAGCAACTCACTGGAAAGGGGTAATTCAGATACCTCACCGAGGAGAGGAGATTGCTCCAGGCAGAGAAAATAGCTGGTCTGCTGGGGCGGAGGCAGGAGAGACTGTGGCAGCGATTTAGAGCAAACTCCAAAAGTCTGGGTGCTCCTGGTGGTGGTACAAGGGGTGACTGGGAAGCACTTTCTTCCATGTCAAGGGGGCGTTGATGGGTAGCTGTTGTCCAGTCATTCCGTGAGGAGTTTCAACTGAGTTTGCCTGTGTTCAGGTCATGAAAACTGTGTTACCATGGCCACCTAGTCTATAGCGATGACATGACAACATTGTCTGCACGTTGCTTTCCAATTTCAGATGTCAAAATGTGAAAAAAATGCCCCTGAGAATGGATAAGGAGGAGTAAGAAATAATATTAGGGGTTGGCAGAATATGGCCAGTATTGCAAAGGGGAAGACGGCTTGAGAGCAAGCACATGGCAGGAGGCCAAGGAGATGGCTGGATGCAGATAGGCTTGCTGGACAACCCTGCAAACTGCCTCATAGGCAGTAAGCAGCAGACTCAGGTCTGGCAGCCTCCAGGCCTATGCCAGTGCTTTTTGTATCTCCGTTGCCCACCAGTATTCTTCTGAAAACTTGGAAAGGACTAGAGTGGGAAAGGATGAGGTTAGGGGAGTGATATGGTTTGGCCAGGTCCCCACCACCAACTCTCAGTAATAATTCCCACATGTCAAGCGTGAGGCCACGTGGAGATTACTGAATTATCACTGGTTTTCCCCATACTGTTTTCATGGTGGTAAATAAGTCTCACGAGATCTGATGGTTTTATAAATGGGAATTCCCTCGCACAAGCTCTTTTGCCTGCCACCATGTAAGATGTGACTTTGCTCCTCATTCGCCTTCTGCCATGATTGTGAGGCCTCCCCAGCCATATGGGACTTCTGCCATGATCGTGAGGCCTCCCTAGCCATGTGAGACAATTAAACCTCTTTCCTTTGTAAATTACCCAGTCTTGGGTATATCTTTATTAGCAGCATGAGAACAGACTAATATAGGGAGGAAGCTTAAAGCTCTGGGCTGTCTTGAGGAATGTTACTGTTTGGATGTGGTTTGTTTGTCCCCAGGGCTCATGTTGAAATTTGATCCCCAATGTGGCTGTGTTGCGAGGGGGCCTAGTTCGAGGTATTTAGATTATGGGGGCAGATCCCTCATGAATAGCTTGGTACTGTTCTCATGGTGGTGTGTTCTTGCTCTGGCAAGACTGGATTAGTTATTTTGGGAATGGATTAGATCTTGCAAGAGTGGATTGTTTTAAAGCAAAAATACTCTTCATGTTTTCTCCCTTTTCTGTGTATCTCCTTCCTGTTTGACCTTCTCTTCTGTGTTGTGATGCAGCCTGAAAGCCCCCACCAGAATCCAGGGCCATGCCCTTGAACTTCCCAGCCTGCAGAACCATGAGCTAATAAAACCTCTTTTCCTTATAAATTACCCAATGTTCGTGGCAAACCTACCCCAAAGTCTGAGAAAGCTGAGAGGCCTAAGGAAGAGGCTGACAAATCCAGTTTCTTAGAAAGAAACATTTAATAGGGACTTACAAACAGAAGTCGTGTCTGTATCTTGGGCAGTGGCGGGTGGATTCCCACCTGGCTTCCCCCAGACCCATTGCTTATTACTGTGGGGAAGAGGTGGTTCAGAAGGGATGTGCAGGACAACTGAAGTGTAATGAACATCAGGGTTGTATGACCCAAGGGCAGGATTTACAGTAAGTACCTGCTCTTACACGAGGAGCAATAGATAAACTGGAAATCTTAAGAGACTTTCCTGGTAGATTAGCATCCAAGATGGAGTTGCTTTGGCCTCCACACCCAGTTTTAGGTATTCTTTGTAGCAACGTAAAGCAAGAGGGAACGGTCTGGACTCTGTTCCTCAATATTGTATTTATTTATCTATTTTAGATATAGGGTCTTTCTCTGTCACCCAGGCGGGAGTGCAGTGGTGCAATCATAGCTCACTGCAGCTTCTAACCCCTCGGTTCAAGTGATCTTCCCACCTCGGCCTCCCAGGTGCTTGGATTATAGGTGTGAGCCACCGTGCCTGGTCCTCAGCATTCTAGAGCATTCTCGTGCCCTCCATGTTATACACTACTGGAAAGGCATTGTGTGCCACCCAGCTGCTTCTTTGTTCTGCTGACCCCATGCAGGAGATTTCTGGGAGCTGCATCCAACGTGGTGTGTTCATCTCATGGAGGCTGCAGCAGAGGGAAGAGTGGAGTGATATGTCCTGTCCTAGCCTGTGTCCACCAGGAGAGGTCCTGATCATGGGAGGGGGTGTATAGAGGCAAACAACTTGGCTGATTTTCTACAAGGAGTGAAGGGACCTTGATAATTATCATCATCATTATGATTGACTCTGATTGTTCTTAACACTAGAAAGAGTCACCATTTCTTGAGTGTTTACCATGAGTTGGGTGCTTTATGTATTAATGCAATGTCTCATTTTATCTTTGCAGGGCACTGGAGACACTGGTAATAATAGCCACATTTCAAAGAGGAGGACACTGAAGCCCAGGCAGTAAGTAACCTGCCGAAGGTCACACAGCTAAGATGTGGGAAAAGATATGGCCCCAGATATGTCTGATTTCTTTTCTTCTCTCCCCGTCCTGCTTTATTTTTTTAGAAGAGTCTTGTTCTGTCACCCAGGCTGGAGTGCCATGGCATGATCTTGGCCACTTCAGCCTTTGCCTGGTGGGTTCAAGTGATTCTCCTGCCTCAGCCTCCCAAGTAGCTGGGATGACAGGCACCCGCCACCATACGTGGCTAATTTTTATATTTTCAGTAGAGATGGGATTTCACCATGTTAGTCAGGCTGGTCTTAGTAGAGAATTTTTAGTAGAGATGGGGTTTCACTGGGTTAGTCAGGCAGTGGATCACTCCTGGCCTCAAGTGATCCACCCACCTTGGCCTCCCAGAGTGCTGCAATTACAGATGTGAGCCACTGCACCTGGCTTTTTTTTGAGACAGGGTCTCACTTTTTCACATGGAGCTGGAATGCAGTGGTGTGAATGATCAAGGCTTATTGCAGCCTTGAACTCCTGGGCTCAAGTAATCCTCCTGCCACAGCCTCCAGAGTAGCTGGGACCACGTGCACATGCCAGGCTGCCTGGCTCACTTTTTATTTTTAGTAGAGATAGGGGTCTCACTATGTTGTCCAGCTCATCTTAAACTCCTGGGCTCAAGTGATCCTCCTGCCTTGGCCTCCTGAATTGTTGGGATTACTGGCATGAGCCATCACATCCGGACAATGTGTCTGATTTAAAAGCCTGTGCTCACACTTTGGGAGACCAAGGTGGGTGAATCACCTGAGGTCAGGAGTTCAAGACCAGCCTGGCCAACATGACGAAACCCCATCTCTACTAAAAATACAAAAATTAGCTGGTTGTGCACCTGCAATTTTAGCTACCTGGGAGGGTGAGGCAGGAGAATTGCTTGAAGTCAGGAGATGGAGGCTGCAGTGAGCCAAGATTGTGCCGTTGCAACCCAGCCTGGGTGACAGAGTGAGATTCTGTCTCAAAAAAAAGGGCTGTGCTCTTAACCATTGCATTGCCATGATGTCATGTCCATGCCCTATGACTGGGCCTGGCTGGTTGATAACACTATAGATTTCTTAGACTGTTGATTACTTAGAGCCTCACGTTCTGTAGGAATCAGATCAATGTTAAGTCTCCTCAGGTCTTCAGAGGGCTTATGTCTAGAAATGGAACCAGAGAAGCTGGGGTTAAAGGGATCAATGATGCCTGTCAGTGCAATTCCACAAATATTTTCCCAAGCCCTCCTATGTGCTAGGCACTGGTAGAGACTGCTGTGGGTGGAGTGAAGCCACAGAGATCAACAGGTGCTCTTTAGGCCTTCCGGGAGATGACCATGACTAGGGAGAATACAAACAAAAACATAAACCCTGGTACAAACCATCATCATTGAATCGTGTTAGACATCACTGGGTTTCAAGTTACAGAAATCCAGCTCAAGTTTTTCTAAGCAAGAAAGTAGACATATTGGAGCAAATGACAGAAAATCTCAGGACTGTTCTGGCATCAAGCATGGCTGAATCAAGGTGCCAAGGATGTTGTCACATCTTGACCACTCTTGCGTCATCTCGTGGCCTCTCCTTTCCTCTGAATCGACTTTGTTCCCAGGAAGACTCTTTTCTTTGTTCCCAGGAAGACTCTTTTCTTTGTTCCCAGGAAGACTCTTTTCTTCTGGCAGCCTTATGTTTGCTTAGCAACTCCAGAGGAAACAGAGTGGCTGTTTCCTGAGAGTTCTAGCAAAAGTCCCTGAGAAGACTGCCACTGCTTGGCATGTCACATGCAGGTGCCCGAGCCAATCCCTGTGCATGGTGGTTGTGACGCTGTGACTGGCCGAGGCCAAGTATGTGTCCTTCCTTAACTGAGAGTGGAAGTTGGGCAGTACCACTCACAAAAATTGAGGTAGTGTTACCACGAGCAGGAGAACAGATGTGAGGCGGGAAAAACGCACACATGTGCTGAACACAAGCCTTGAAGGCAGGAAGGGCTGCAGAGTGCATCTTGTCTGATACTCTCACTTTATAGATGGGAAAGGTGTGTTCTGCTTAGAGCACACCTTTCAAATTCCATCTCTGCCACTTGGCAGGCCCTGAGCAATCTCTTTACTTCTCTGTGCCTCAGTTTCCTCATCTCTGAAATAGTTATAATAATGACATTATAGGGTTAATTGGAAGCATTAATTCACATAAGTGTTTTAACACATTTAGAACAGCATGGGCTGGGCATAGTGGGTTATGCCTATAGCTCCAGCACTTTGGGAGGGCAAGGCAGGGCTCAAATTCCTGAGCTCAGGAATTTGAGACCAGCCTTGAGTGAGACTCCATCTCTACAAAAATTTTAAAAATTAGCCAAGCACAATGGTTTGCACCTGTAGTTCCAGCCACTCAGGAGGTTGAGATGGAAGTGGTCACTTGAGCTCAGGAGTGTGAGGCTGCAGTGAGCTATGATGGTGCCACCACACTCCAGCTTGGGTGACAAAGTGAGATCCTGTCTGGGAAAAAAACAAAGAACAGTGTAACATAGGAGGTGCTCAATAAGTGCTTATTTTCTCTCCTCTATTCGCATATTGTCACAAGATTCTTTGGGTATTGCTTTTCTAGCCAGAAACCTCTGTGGCTGGCAGCACCTTGGCCCAAGTTTTGCTCAGGCCCACTGGGCTTGTTCTGCTGACTTAGCCTGTCAGGCTGCACTTGGCTAGTGCTCCTTGCCCAGACCCCACACCTGCCAAGGGTGAGCCAGGCACAGAGCGGCCAGGGGTACGTGAACAAGTGAGCATGGGGTCCAGCCACTGTGCACAGCTAGGCACACCAGCTGCTGTGGCAGGGTGAGCAGCTCCAGGCGCTGGCACAGGCACTGGCTCTGTGCAAGCCTACAGCTGGATCTGATGCATTGCAAGTGGTTTCCACTGTGGGCACCTGCATCTAGACAAGGGGAAACTCAGTAGTGCCCAAGTGGTTGGAGATACCAGAAACCACAGAGCCCCAAAGAGGGTGTGATAGCCCTGGCTCAGGGATCCCCTAGGTCTGGGCTCCCTGAAGGGCCACAGCTCTTCTCTCCTTCTTGTCTCCCACAATATGGTGAGCATGGGGGCACATTTCAGCCCTGTTTGTGTTACAGCTCTTTCAGTCCTGCCATTCTTGTCCCATGTCCAGGAAGAATGATGTACGTGGACAACTGGAGGGTTAGCAAGGTGAAGAGGTGCTCTATTGAGCGACAGTACAGCTCTCAGGAGACCTGAGGTGGGTAGCTCCTATCTGCAGGCAAGTTGTCCTGACATCTCTGCAAGTCTGACTGAGACCGGGATTTTTACGTGCTTTAGAAGGGAGGAAGTGTGTGCTGACTGGTCCGTGGGTGGCCATGGATGGGCCCAGAAAAAGCACCATAAGTTCTCACTCTGGGCCACAGACTCCACCTGGAACTGACAGCCCAGCACCCAGGCTTGGCAAGTGCTCCTTGCCACAGCTTGAAGGTGGGGCTTCCTGGGGCCCACCCCTTTCCACCCAGGAGCCCGTCTGCCTCCTGCTGCCACCTGCTTAATGCATGTCATCCATGGTGCCCAGGCTGTTTATAACAAGGGGTGCCTGCAGGCTTGTGCCGAGCTGCCCTCAGCTCCCCCTTGGCCTCCCTCCCATGTTTGTCAGTCACCAAAGTCTGGAGGAGGCTGAGATGGCAAGAGGCTAGCATATCCTCAAGTGTTTGCACATCTGGCTGGGTTGTGACAATGCCCAGGCTCGGCTACAACTTTGCTCTGAAATCGGAGTGCTGGGAGCAGGGAGAAGCCACACAGTGGGAGCAGGCACTTCTGAGCCTGTCATTGTGGGGGTGGGGGTCTTCTCCAGCCCCTGAGAGCTCAGGGATGCCCCCTTGTCTGGAGCCATGACTGGGCAGCTGCAGCTATGCCGGAAGAGCACGGGGCTCCCAGTCCAGCAATTCAGAATGGGGCAAGGCTCCCCTACTGCAGGCTCCCGTACTGCACATCTGGCTGGGTTGTGACAGTGCCCAGGCTCGGCTACAACTTTGCTCTGAAATTGGAGTGCTGGGAGCTCCCCTTCCTGTTCCTGGCTCCCACTAGCTCTGTGGCACATGCAGTCCTGGCTGCGTCTCCCCTACTGCAGCCAGCGTCTTCACAGCCAGCGGCTGCTCCAAACAGGCCACCACTACCATCAGAATCCCCCGGATCCCCTAGAGCCATCCACTCATTTCTGTCTCTAAAGCACTGTATTGATCCTTTTAATCCAGTATTGTCATTGTTTGCCACCTCTCTCACGGCACTTGGTTTCTTCTACTTGAATGTGCGTTCTTCAAGGGTTGGGACCCCATCCTATGAATCTCTGTGTGGCCAGTGCCCAGTGCCTAGTGGAAGTCAGTACGGAAGACACATCAGCCACCGAAGTTGGTTTTGCCAACCAGTTGCCCATTTATCTAATGCTGAGTCACAAACCACCACAAAATTTGGTGGCTTAAAACAACATTTATTTTGAGCAATAATCTGTAATGTGAGCAGGGATTGGTGGAGACGGCTTGACTGTGTTCCACTTGGTGTCAGCTGGGGAGCCGGAAGCCCAGGGGCTGAAGTTATCTGAAAGGCCCTCTCACCTGCACGTCTGACACCTGGGCTGGGAAGACTCAAATATCTGGGGGCTGGAACAGAAGGGGGCCCTTGTGTGTTTGTTTCTTTTCTTTTTAAACGGGGTCTCACTCTGTTGCCCAGAACGGAGTGCAGTGGTGTGAACAAGGCTTACTGCAGCCGTGACCTCCTTGGCTCAAGCCATCCTCTCACCTTAGCCTCCTGAGTAACTGGGACTACAGGTCCACGCCACCATACCCAGCTAATTTTCAATTTTTTAGAAATGGTGTCTCGCCGTGTTGCCCAGGCTGGTCTCAAACTCCTGGTCTCAAGCAATCCTCCTGCCTCAGCCGCCCAAGTAGCTGGGATTGCAGGCATGAGCCACCATGCCCAGCTAATTAATTTTTTTTTGTTTGTAAAGACAAGGTCTTGCTGTGTTGCCCAGGCTGGTCTCAAACCCCTGAGTTCAAGTGATCCTCCCACCCCAGCCTCCCAAAGTGTTGAGATTACCGGTGTGAGCCACCATGCCCATCTGGGTAGCTCTGTTTCTAGTATGTTCTCTCTGCATGGTCTGTTCGACAGGATGGCTTCAGGGAGCTGGACTTCCACAGGTCAGTTCGGGGTGACCAAGGTGCGTGCCCCAAGAACGAGGGTTCCAGGTAGAGGCTGTATGACATTTTTTAAATAAAAAAATTAATTTTAGAATACATTTAGATTGACAGAGAAATTGCAAAGCTAGTAGAGAAATTTCCCATATATCCTGCACTCAGTTTTCCTTATGATTCCTGTCTTACATAGTATAGGGCATCTTGCACCGGTAATGAACCCATATTGATCCTTTTTTTTTTTTTGAGACAGAGTCTTGCTCTGTCACCAGGCTGGAGTACAGTGGCGCAATCTCAGCTCACTGCAACCTCCGCCTCCTGGGTTCAAGCAATTCTTCCGCCTCAGCCTCCCGAGTAGCTGGGACCACAGGTGTGTGCCACCATGCCCGGCTAATTTTTTTGTATTTTTAGTAGAGACGGGGTTTCACCGTGTTGGCCAGGATGGTTTTGATCGTGATCCGCCTGCCTCGGCCTCCCAAGGTGCTGGGATTACAGGCGTGAGGCACCGCACCCGGCCCATTTTTTTTTTTTTTAATAACTAAAGCTCATACTTTCTTCAGACTTCCTTAGTTTTTATCTCATGTCCTTTTTCTCCTCCGGGATCCCATCCAGAGCACCAAGTTACCTCGGTGGTCATGTCTCAGGCTTCCCTTGGCAGTGATAGTTTCTCAGACTTTCCTTGGTTTTCATGACCTTGACAGTCTGGAGTACTAGGCAGGTATTTTGTAGGATGTCCCTCAGCTGGCTTTTTCTGATGTTCTCCTAATGATTAGGCTGGGGTTACAGGTTTCCGAGTGAAGTACCCTTCTCATCACATTATATCAAGGGTACATACTATCTGGCTGGGTGCGCTGGCTCTTGCCTGTAATCCCAGCACTTTGAGAGGCCAAGGAGTGTGGATCAGTTGAGGTCAGAAGTTCAAGACCAGCCTGGCCAACATGGCAAAAACCCATCTTTACTAAAAATACAAAAAATTAGCCACACATGGTGGCTCACACCTGTAATCCCAGCTACTCAGGAGGCTGAGGCAGGAGAATCACCTGAAGTCAGGAGGTAGAGGTTGCAGTGAGCCAAGATCATACCACCATACTCCAGCCTGGGCAACAGAGCAAGACTCCATCTCAAAAAAAAAAAGGGTACATACTATCAGCCTATCGACATGACTTACCACTGTTGATGGTAGTCTTTTAAAAATTATTTTATTTTTAATTAAATTCGTTTTAAGTTTAGGAGTACATGTACATACAGCATATGCAGGTTCGTTATATAGGTAAAAGTGTGTCATGGGGATTTGTTGTACAGATGATTTCATCACCCAGGTATTAAGCTTAGTACTCATTAGTTATTTTTTCTGATCCTCTCCCTCCTACCGTTTCCCCCCTCCCACAAGCTCCAGTATGCGTTATTTCCCTCAGTGTATCCATGTGTTCTCATCATTTAGCTACCATAATTTTTTTTTTTTTTTTTTTAGTAGAGACAGGATCTCGCTATGTTGTCCAGGCTGGCCTCCCAACTCCTGGGCTCAAGTATTCCTCCTGCCTCAGCCACCCTATGTGTTGAGGTTACAGGTGTGCACCACTGCATCTGACTGATGTTAATTTCAGTCTCCTCGGGGTGGAGGATGGGTATCTAAAACATTATTTGGAATTATTCAGCATGGAAGATTTCTCTATTCTCTTTTCCATGTATTTATTTATGTAATCATTTATTAATGCCAGTATTGACTCATGGTTATTTATGTTACACTCTGGGTTATAATCCAAGACTACTTTTTTTGTTTTCAGATAGTATGTCACTCTGTTGCCCAGCCTGGTGTGCAGCGAGGTGATCTCAGCTCATTGTCACCTCTGCCTCCTGGGTTCAAGTGATTCTTGTGTCTCAGCCTCCTGAGTAGCTGGGAGTACAGGCATGCACCACCATGCCTGGCTAATTTTGATGTTTTTTAGTAGAGATGGGATTTCACCATGTTGGCCAGGCTGGTCTCGAACTCCTGACCTCAAGTGAGCTGCTTGCCTTGGCCTCCCAAAGTGCTGGGATTACAGGTGTGGGCCACTGTGCCCAGCTAAGACTTTTAATTTTGTTGTTTGAATTGTTCTAGCTTTGGTCATTGGAAGCTCCTTCATGCTGGCACCTGTGGTATGTGTGTGTGCGTGTGTGTGTTTGCTTCCTTTCTGGTGCTACAATGTGCTCCAGGCTCATCATATAAATTTCCTGCCCCAGTCTCGAATCAGCCATTTTTTTCAAGAAGCCTGGTTTCTTTATTTTACAATGGTATTAGAAGCCAAGATCTGGGTGTTCATTATTCCTGGGGTGTATGACCTTTTAAAACACTACCTCGGAAGTCATGGGGTTCTCTTCCGCCATAATCTCAGGCCCACTCAGAATCAAGGGGAGAGGACGCAGACTGTTCCTTGCCTTTTGAATGAGGCCTGTCATTGTCACATTGTTAAGAGCCCGTGAGATGGGATAGATTGGTGTCATCATCTTTGGATAATACCGAGTCACACCAGTGATGGTGTTGTTCACCCAAGAATTCTCCCTTTATGTAACACATCTTTCATCCCTGTCTGGTTTCTGTTTTGTCTCAGAGACTTTTGTTCATGGTTTAGTTTTTCCTGCAGGTGATTTTAGTTGATACAAGGACATACATTAAATAACATTGAGTCACATTGTGAAAGTAATTTCTTTTTCAATTCTCTCCTAATCCCTTTGCTGGAGTCAAGGAGAAGGTCTCAGCTTGGTGCTACGAATGTTTTAACTCTTGCTAATTTCTTTTTTAATGTTCTGGCTCAGAGCAGTCTCACAGCACAGCATCCTAGGTGGAATTTAATCGTGTGGCTTTATGTGCTTTTGCAGTTACACTCTGTGGCAGAGATTTTTGCCACTTTCCAGGATGCATGTGTACCCTCACATTTCCCAGTACCCTGGGAGTTAGGCAGGACCATGTGATGACTATTCTTGGCTCACGGGCTCTGGGTAGAAGATTTAAACGCCAGTGAGTGGCCCTCCAGCTTTGTCATCTCCTGTTCAGTGACCAAGGAGGCCAGGTGTTCCAAGAGGGCATTGCCTCCTGATGGCTTGGGTCTGTGTCCCCGCCCAAATCTCATGTCGAGTTGTAATCCCCAGTGCTGGAGGTGGGGCCTGGTGGGAGGTGACTGGATCATGGGGGTGGATTTCCCCACTCTGTGCTGTTCTCATGATAAAGTGCTCATGAGATCTGATTGTTTAAAGGGTGCAGCACCTCCCCCTGCCTCTTCCTCCTGCTCTGGCTATGTAAAACATGCCCGTTTACAGTCCAGGCATGGTGGCTCATGCTTGTAATCCTAGTACCTTGAGAAGCTGAGGCGAGTGGATCACTTGATGTCAGGAGTTTGCGACTAGCCTGGCCAACATGGTGAAACCCCGTCTCTACTCAAAAAATACAAAAATTAGCCAGGCATGGTAGTGCACGCCTGTAATCCCAGCTGCTCAGGAGGCTGAGGTGAGAGAATTGCTTGAACCCAGGAGGCAGAGGTTGCTGTGAGCCAAGATCGGGCCATTGCACTCCAGCCAGTGAAACTCTGTCATAAAATAAAAAAAGAAAAAAATTCCATGCCTGTTTCCCCTTCACCTTCCACCATGACTGAAAGTTTCGAGGCCTCCCCAGAAACTGTCATGCTTCCTGTATAGCCTGTGGAACCATGAGCTAATCAAGCCTCTTTTTATATAAATTACCCAGCCTCTGGGGTTTCTTTATAGTGATGTGAGTGGACTAATACGTCTCCCTCTACCCGAGTCTCTGAGTGACGCAGAGCCTTCCATCAGCCCATGTTGGATGCACAGCATTTGGTATGTTAAACCCTTGAACTCCCGGGATCATTCTTTATTTCATTTTTTAGAGTTTGGGTCTCACTCTGTTGTCCAGGCTGGAGTGCATGGCTTGATTATAGCTTGCTGCAGTCTTGCACTTCTGGGCTCAAGCAATCCTCCTGTCTCAGATTCACAAGTAGGTGGGACTACAGGCATGCACCCGCATGCCCTGCTAATTTTTAATTTTTTTTGTAGAGTCAGGATCTTGCTCTGTTGCCAAGGTGGAGCAAAGTGGTGATCTGTAGCTTGCTGCACGCTCGAACTCCTGGCTTCAAGCAGCCTTCTCACTGTGGCCTTCCCAGATGTTGGGATTATAGTTATAAGCCACCTCACTCTGTCATCCAGGCTGCAGTGCAGTGGTGAGATTTCAGCTCACTGCAACCTCTGCCTTCTGGGCTCAAGCAATCCTCCCACCTCAGCCTCTGTGTTTCTGGGACTATAGGCACGAGCCACCACACCTGGCTAATTTTTATACTTTTTGTAGAGATGGGGATTTTCCATGTTGGCAAGGCTGGTCTCAGACTCCTGACCTCAAGCGATCTGCCCGCCTTGGCCTCCCAAAGTGCTGGGATTACAGGTGTGAACCACCATGCCTGGTTACTAATATGCCTTCTAAACAGGGCAACTGATACTGAATTCGTAGTTAGGTAATAATGCAAAATTTACCAAAAATTAATATAAAGGGAGTTGGTTCAAGGAAAAATATCAGGTGCATAATTTGCTTGGTGATACTCAGACCTGGTAAGAATCCTGGGGGCAAAAACTCAAATGATCAACCAAGGACCAGGAGACCAGTGTTTTTGGAAAACACTGCTCCTGTATTCTCATCTTGCTCTCTGCATGGGAACTCTGGCCTTTATGGGAATTGGCCAGAAAACAAATCTTTATTAATTCCCATTTGTTCACTGTACGTTTTGTGGCTTAAACAACAGTCATGAAAATCTTTACATTAACGTCCATTAGGTCAGAGATTACATTAAAAGTTCTGAGGCTGGCCGAGGCGGCTCACGCCTGTAATCCCAGCACTTTGGGAGGCTGAGGTAGGTGGATCATGAGGTCAAGAGATGGAGACCATCCTGGCCAATGTGGTGAAACCCCGTCTCTACTAAAAATACAAAAATTAGCTGGGTGTGGTGGCGTGCACCTGTATTCTCAGCTTCTCAGGTGGCTGAGGCAGGAGAATGGCTTGAACCTGGGAGACAGAGGTTGCAGTGGTCCGTGATTGTGCCACTGCATACCAGCCTGGGCCACAGAGCGAGACTCCATTTCAAAACAACAAAAAGATCTGAATTTTGTGTTTGGTTTTAGAACCAAATAGTTTGCCTTTGTCCATATATTCCCCAAACACTAATCCAGGGTGTGACCTGGTGAGAAGGAGGTTTTTCAAGTCTTTCTGTTCATAGGGTGCTATTTAAAGGCAGAAGCAAATGATAAGTGACTCAGAATGAGAGGCCACCCGGACGCTGCAGCCAGCGAGGAAAGGATAGAGTGTCGTTCTAGTCCAGCGCACCAAAAGCTGGATATGTGCCGATTAGCAAGTAATTGGGTCCTGGCATGGTGATTTGCATGTGGGAAACTGCTAAAATATTCATGTACTTGAGTGTGTCTCTTCCAATTAGATGTAATAAATGCAGATTTGGTGGCCATATGTTTTATTTTGATGTAATGGTTTTAACCTTTATGGAGTGTGTGTGTGTGTGTGTGTGTCAATGTAGTTCCCCAGTTTTCTAAGGCTGGCCTGATTTGAAACATGCTGGCATTTTTAAGATGCAATTTGATTAGATTATTATTAGAGTCTCCTTCTTGGGATTGGAAGAACAGGCGGTATTAACTTTCTATTTTGACTTCTACTGCATTTATTTATTCCTTCCTTCTCTCCTGTGTTCCCCTTTTCTTTCTGCCCTTCTTCTCTTGCCTTTCCCTTCTCCCTCCCTAACCCAGTCTCTTGAGCAACTGGATTAATCTCTCTAAGCCTCCGTTTCCTCACCTGTAAAATTGGGATAACAACACATTTTTATGAGGAGTAATGAAGATAGTGTATATGAAACATTTAGTACAGTATTTGGCACATAGTAAGTGCTCAGTACGTGGCAGCTGTTGTTATTAGTATCAGCAGCGTGAATCTCAGCAGGTTATCTAACCTTTCTGAACCTCAGTTTCTCCATCTGAAAAATAGGCTCATGTTATTCCTTTCCCCAGATTGTTGTGGTGTCTGCCATTTGTATTAGGTGCTCAGTGAATGAATAAAGAATGAATGAACGAATTTTGGAACTCATTGTGAATTAGTTAGAGTAGAACCCCTACAGTAACATACTATCCCCAAATTTCAGTGGCCTGACATATTACATTGATTTCTCCCTCCCATCACATCCTGATGTGGATGGAAAGGAGTCTCTGCTCCATGCAGTCATTCAGGGCCCCACACTTTCTCCATCTGAGGGTTCAATCCCTGCAGAGGTCTCCAAGTCCTCTTCCTTCAGCCCATGATTGAGGAAAGATAATGGCAGATCTCATGCGGGAGGTTATTATGTGACAGGCCAGGCAGTGGTCAGTTCTGTTCCCATTCCATTTGTCTCTCAGTACGTTCCTGACCACAAGCGAGGCTGGGAGCTGGGTGCCTAGGACAGCGAGGAGGACAGGCAGGACTTTACTCTGGATTTAGGTTTCTAGAAACCACAGGCAGGCAAAAACTTGGCCACCTGCTTGTGAGACTCACAAAAAAGATAACAAATAAGTCTGATTTGATGTCATAAACGGGTTGCAGAGACAAGGAAGGCTGAACAAGGGAGAAAAGTGAGAAGCAGGTGGGGGACAGAGGGAGCCTTGCCTGTTTTCTATGACCTGGGGTCCTGGCCATCGGAGCCACACAGTGTATCTGCCCTTCTTCTTCTCTCCCTCTGTCCTTGTCCATTTTCTCTTTTGGAATCTATTATTAGTGAGCTCCGCCATTGTTTTTTCTGATTGCATTAAAATGCCACCAAGACACATGCTCTGCAGCATGCCACTTCAGTCCTAAGTGGGACATTTTTGCTAGATGGATCGATTGTTTTAAATGACAGCATCTGTTTGCTTGTACACATTTATTTATAATTCCTCCCCTGACAATTAGAGGGGGGGAATCGGTGAGCGGTAACCAGCTGTTGGGATTAGCGGGGAAGGGAGGCAGTGATTTGATCTGTGAAGGAGCACCAAAGCCCCGGCCAAAAGCAGTAAAAATGGAACAGATGCCCCCACATGCACAAGCTTGGGGAGGGACCGATAAATCACATGCGCTGCCAGCCGCAGCCCCAGAGAGACACCAGATGAGCTGGGTGAGCCGGAGAAGCTCGTGAGAGTCAGGGGCTGTGTCTGGCTCTCCCTGGGACTCGAGGGGCTTGATAGATGGAGTGGAGGGCAGTACAATAGCGCAGAGTAGTGGACCTCGGTGAGCTGGACCCTCTGATGGGTCTTCGTGTCACTCAGGTTGAAATCCAGAGTGCTCACCATGGTTTACCATGGTGGCCCTACCAAAGTGGCCTCTGTTATTCCTCTACCCTCTATCCCTGTGCTCTGCTGCCTTTCCAGGTGTGCACCAGCAGCTCTACCTCCAGCTACTCCTGTAACATGCCAGATGCTCCCCCTCCTGGGGTTCCCTCAGGCTCTGCTTTCGTCATTCATCCTCCATCTCCATGGGGCTCACTTTCTCACCTCTTTTAAATCCATGCTCAAATGCCACTTCTTAGAACTATTTCTTATGAACTCCCTATCCAGCCCTCTTCCTTCTGGTCTCAGTCTGTTGGTGCTGCTGTAGCAAAATACCCCTGGCTGGGCAATTTATAAATAATAGAAGTTTATATCTCATAGTTCTGGGGGCTGGGAAGTCCAAGAACAAGGTGCTGGCAGATTCAGTGCCCGGTGAAAGCTTACTCTGATTCCAGATGGTGCCTTCTTACTATGTCTTCGCTTGGTGGAAGGAGACAAAAGGGGACGAATGAATGCCCTGTCCTCACATAGGAAGAGAGGTGGGAGAGCCAGGCAACTCTCTGAAGCCTCTCTTATGAGCATATTACAAGAGCCCCCCCTTATCCTAGGGGGCTATGTTCCAAGACCCCCAGTGGATACCTAAAACCACAGATAGCACTGAACCCCAAAACACTACATTTTTTCCCTATACATACATACCTATGATGTTTAATTTATAAATTAGGCATAGTAAAAGATTAACAAGAATAAAATAGAACAGTTACAACAAATTACTGTAATTCTGTGAATATTTATTTCTGGAATTTTCCATTTAATATTTTGGGATGGTGGTTGACCACAGAAAGCTGAAGCCTTAGATGGGGGCACTCACTACTGTGATCCCATGCACAAGAGTGGAGGCCTCCTGATGTCATCCCCTCCCCCAGACCCTTCCGTCTAATGCCATTCCCTTGGAGATTAGGTGTCAACACAGGAAGTTGGGAGGAACACATACCTTCAAACCCTAACACCGCCTCTCTCGTTTTCTTTTTCTCTCTAACACTTACAACCCTTCTAACAAAACACATACATGTTTGAAATGTTTATTTTCTGTCTGTTCCATAGGAGTTTCATGATGGCAGGGGCCTTGTCTGTCTTGTTTGTCCCTGAACTGTCCTGGGCACATAGTAGATGCTCAGTAAATGTTTGCTGAATCAATGCAGGATTTTTCATTTGGGGGAACACATCGCCCCTTTTGACTTTCCCTATTTGCAACTCAGGGGTCACAGGGAGAAAGCCAAGGTCACTGAGGGGTTGCTCTCTGGGGCCATCAGTCCTATATTCCTGATCTCTGTAGCTCCCCAGGATCTAGCCCAATGCCTTGCATGCAGTAGGCATTCAATAAATATTTGCTGAATAAAGAGATGACTGAATGACACAAGTTGACACTGAACAACATTCAAGGCAAGAAACAAGGACTCGTTGCTGAATCCTTTTCCCCCCATCCCCCACATCAGCGGGTCCAACCAGCAGCATCTCTAAAATACGCCTTGTGACTGAGCACTAGAGTCCAGTTCCTGCTTTAGTGACAGGGTCTGAACCCCACGCCACCTCCTGCCCAGACAACTCCCACAGCGCCTAACTGGGTCCCAGCTGCCACGCTCACGCCCCCTATCCGTTGCTCTCCACACTGCAGCCAGCGTGATCTCATGAAACTATGAAATAATCAGTTCATGCCCTTTTGCAGGCTCACCACTCTCCAAGTGGCACTTACATCAAAACCCAAACCCCTACCACGACTGGCTGCCCGCCCCGCTTCCTCTGCCGTCTCTCTAGTCTTGTGCTCGGACTCCTTACTCTCTTTGAAAATGCCTTGGGGTCTTTGCACTTTCTGTTCCTGGAACAGAGTCTGGGGTCCCAGCTGAGCTCTGAGAGCAGCAGAGAGCATCTGCTTGGGAAGGAAGCAGACGAACAGCCAGCATGACTGGCTCCTTTATCCTTCAGGTTTCGGCTCAAATGTCACTTCCTGACCACCCCATCTAACCCAGTCCTCCTTCCATCTTCCCACCTCTACAGAGAACCCCAGGACTCGGAGGAATGGCCTGAATCCCATTTGTGTCCCGTGACCTAACTCCCCTCTGCTCTGTCCCCCTCCCTTCCCTCCTCCCATCTGCTTCTGTGCACAAAGCATCATAACGCTTTGATCTATTACTTCATTTTTTCCCGTGGTTTCTCCTTCCTCTCCTTCTCCCTTTTCCTTCTCATCAAAGCAGGCAGCTGTTGCCTCAGGGGAAGGATATTGCAGAAGGGGAACAACAAATAGCCTATACATCTTTCTGGCTTTTCTTCTCTTTTAGGAGAACTTAGGAGAGTTCTCATTAGAACTAAGGGGTTGCAGGGGATTAGAGGTACCACCAAGGGTCCCGGAGCCACAGTGGGGAGAGCAGAACTCCTCTCCCCAGCTGCAGAGAGACTTCCTGTGGCTGGGGGAGAGAGAGAAGGGAGGGGGAGTAGTGGCATCCTGGGCTGTGGGTCTTGGGGCTGTACTTCCTGGCGCCTCCCTGGGGAGGAAGCAGGACCCTGGAGGAGAGGCTGCCTCCAAGCCCAGAAACCGTAAGTCATCCCCTCTTGAACTGAATCCTGCTCACAGCCGTTTGGTTTGGCCCATGCAGTGTTGTATTTTCTTTCTGATGGATTTCTAAAATTTAAAAGATTGAGGCTGGGCTTGGTGGCTCACACCTGTAATCCCAGCACTTTGGGAGGCCGAGGTGGGAGGATCATGTGAGATCCGGAGTTTGAGACCAGCCAGGACAGCATATCAAGACCCCGTCTCTACAAATATAAAAAAATAAAAAATTAGCCAGGCGTGGTGGCGCTCATCTGTAGTCCCAGCTACTTAGGAGGCTGAGGAAGGAGAATCACTTGGGCCCAGTGAGCTATGATTATGCCGCTGCATGCACTCCAGCCTGGGCAACAGAGAAAGACCCTGTCTCAGAAAACCAAAACAACAACATCAAAAATAGATTGCCTATTTCAAATTTCTCTTGAAAGTTCAGATTTAGATTTGCAGTTTGTCTGGATAAAGAGATCTGGTAGTGCTAGGCCTGTGTTTACAGAGGTGGGCCTGGGAGCCTGGCACAAATATGCTGTATTCCCACCCCACCTCTTGCTGCTGGGTCACAGCCAGTCCACTTCGTTTGTTTTTAAGACAGGGTCTCACTCTGTGCCCAGGCTGGAGTTCAGTGGCACGATCTCAGCTCACTGCAGCCTCTACCTCCCAGGTTCATTCTCCTGCCTCAGTCTTCGGAGTAGCTGGGACTACAGGCTCACACCACCATGCCCAGATAATTTTTGTATTTTTAGAAGAGACAGGGTTTCACTGTGTTGGTCAGGCTGGTCTTGAACTCCTGGCCCCACGTGATCTGCCTGCCTCGGCCTCCCAAAGTGCTGGGGTTACAGGCGTGAACCACTGCGCCCCACCAGCCAGTCCACTTGTTTGCTTGATGAACCTGGTCCCTTTGGGCATCTGAGTCTCTGGCTCTGGAAGATGGTGCCCAAGGCAGCTTCAGTGAAGAACCTGGGGCCCTAGCGAGCTCTGAGAGCAGCCGAGGCTTCTGCTTTGGAAGGGGTCATGTGGACAGGAAGGATGGAGAGCTTAGTGGTCACCCAAGTGGATGGAGGACCCAGACCCCTCTCCGTCTCAGCTTGGTTGTTCACACCTGTAAGCTCACACCTGTGTGAAACCCAAGAACCAAGGCCCAACCCCAGAAAGGCGTGGCAAAGTCAAGGACTGAAGTTTACTTTATGCCGGTGCAGCCACGTGGAGGATATGAGTTGGAGATTCAGTGAGTCATCGAACATTTTTAAGAAGTGATTTATTTCTGAGCAACTGAAATTTGTGGATGAGATGCAAAGATGCTGTCATATTTCACTTACTCTTCAGGGTCAAGATTATCCCCTTCAAAGACAAAAGACACAATTTTTAGGAGGGCTTGTCACATGCACAGCACAAGCACAGTGGTAAGCCCTTCATGTCAGCCCTTTATATTCTCAGACTTAAGCGTGCATCAGCATTATCTGAAAGGCCTGTTAACACACAGATTGCTGGGCCCAGCCCCAGAGTTTCTGATTCAGCAGGTCTGGAGTGGGGCTCAAGAGTTTGCATTTTTAGCAAGTTACCAGGTGAGGCTGATACTGCACGTCAGGAGACCAGGCTTTGAGAAACACTGATTTAGAGAATTACCTTCATCAGTTGTCACAATCTTATTATGTAGAGTCTAGCATCTCTCTCCCTCTCTCTCTTTAAAGAAAGGATCTCACTCTGTTGTTCAGGCTGGAGTGCAGTGGCACCATGTCCACCTCCTGGGTTCATTCTCCTGCCTCAGCCTCCTGAGTAGCTGGGACTGCAGGCATGCGCCATCACGCCCTGCTAATTTTTATATTTTTTAGTAGAGACAGGGTTTCACCATGTTGGCCAGGCTGGTCTCAAACTCCTGGCCTCAGTGATCTGCTGGCCTTCACCTTCCAAAGTCCTGGAATTATAGGTGTGAGCCACCTCACCTGGCCAGCCAGTCCACTGCAGCTGCAGCCTCAACCTCCAGGGCTCAAGGAATCCTCTTGCCTTAGACTCCTGGGCAGCTGGGATTACATGTGCCACCATGCCCAGCTAAGTTTTAATTTTTTTGTACAGATGGAGTCTTGCTATGGCTGGTCTCAAATTCCTGGCCTCAAGTGATTTTCCCACCTTGGCCTCCCAAAGCACTGGGATTACAGGTATGAGCCACAACATCTGGTCTATCATTGCTCTCTCTCTCTTTTTTTTTTTTGAGGAGTCTAGCTTTGTCACCAGGCTGGAGTACAGTGGTGCGATCTTGGCCCACTGCAACCTCTGCCTCCCGGGTTCAAGGGATTCTCCTGCCTCAGCCTCCCGAGTAGCTGGGACTACAGGCACATGCTGACATGCCCAGCTAATTTTTGTATTTTTAGTAGAGATGGGGTTTCTCCCTGTTGGCCAGGATGATCTTGATCTCCTGACTGGGTGGTCTGCCCACCTCAGCTTTCTAAATTATTGGAATTACAGGTGTGAGCCACCGCACCCATCCCTCTCTTTTTAAGAAGAAAAAGAAAAGGCCAAACAGGTTAATTTGCCCAGGATCACCCAGCCCTCAGGGGCAGAGCTGGGGTTTGGATGTGGGTCTGGCTGCCTGAGCTCCCAACCACTGCCCTCACCCATCTGTCTTTCCCCTGAAGCCAAGCCCATTTTCAAGCACATCCCTGGCCTACAGAGGTCCTGTATCTGAGGAGGAGGGATGGTGGGGGGATGGGAGGAGAGCATGTCCATCCTTGCCTCCTCTCAGGTGGAGAGAATAATAGTAGCTTTCCCTTTTACCTTGTTCACAGTGCAGTGCAGTGCTTCACGTGATTCACTTGTCCTCTCCTCATGGTGTGCATGATCCTCATCATCCCATTTTACAGATGAGGAAGGTGGATCTACTCTGTCCAGCCAGCAGGGTCTGGAAGAGAGGGAGCTCACGTGGGAGGCTCTAATGGGCGGGGTCTGGAAGTGATGGCGTCACTTCTGCTCACTTCCATTGGCCATAACTTGGTCACATGATGACGCCTAACTGCAAGGAAGGCTGGGAGATGTGTGGTGTATCTAGGTCCCTGGGGGAAACTGGGAATGAGATTTGCTGACCACCTGGTGGCCTCCGCCTAGGCTCTTTGCATGCCCTGATGCCATTTAAACCCCTGAAGGAGGTGTTATTAACATAGTTGCTAAGCTGTGGAACTGGCATTCAATCCCAGGCCTCCTAACTCCTCAGCACAGTGTTTCCTGGACTTCCATAGAAGAAGGGGGAGAAGCAGAATGAAAATACCTGAGAACAGTAAGGTGAACATTGTCAATCAGGCTCCCATGATCCAGGCATGGGAAGCTACGTTGGAGGTGACAGTGGATGCTGAGGGTGGAGTTTTCAGACTGTTGCTGCCACTTTGGCTGTGTGACCTTGGTGTTGTACCAGACTTTTATTGATTTCAGTAGGGATGGGACCATGTTTAAGAGGCCAAAGGGCTGGGTGTGATGGCTTCTACCTGTTATCCTAGCACACTGGGAGGCTGAGGCGGGCAGGTTACTTGAGGTCAGGAGTTCAAGACCAGCCTGGCCAACATGGTGAAACCCTGTCTCTATTAAAAATACAAAAAGTAGCCAGGTGTGGTGGCAGGCAACTGTCATTGCAGCTACTCAGAAGGCTGAGGCAGGAGAATCGCTTGAACCAGAGAGGCAAAAGTTGCAGTGAGCTGAGATCACGCCACTGCACTCCAGCCTGGGTGACAGAGTGAGACTCCATCTCAAAATAAATAAATAAATAAATAAATAAATAAATATATATATATATATATATATATATATAGAGAGAGAGAGAGAGAGAGAAACAAGAGGCTGAAGGACAGACCCAGAGCCACTGAACAAGATGCAGGGTTTATTGAGAGGACTTACATAGAGGGCAGTCCAGTGGTGGCGGGCTGGACAGGAGAATCACTGCCTTTTGTAAAAAGCCTGCAGATTACATAGAGTGTCCACTTAGCAGTTTAGCAGTTTCACTTAGCATGCTAGCACCCCTAACCACCGCCTCTTGACAACCTTCCTTTAACCCAAAACAAACAGCCTCCATCCCCCATATGGCACGTGTTTCCTGGTACAGGCTGGGATGCAGATGTTCCTCATAGATAAGGAACAGAACACTTACTACATGACAGGCATGATTCTAAGCACTCCCTCTCCTGGAGTCCTTAGCGTGGAACTCTGAACACACATTCTTCTTAGACCGGAGAAGATTCTCAGCGTATTGCCCAATTTAAGTTATGGCTCTCAGGTGCGTCTGCTATGCACTTGGGTGAATCGCTTCTCTCTGAGCTGTGGTTTATTGTAATACTAAGATGATAAGACCCATCTAGTCAGGTTATCTATGAGGATGAAATAAAACACCACAGCCTGGCCAGAGCAGGCATATGATAGTGAAAGTTTAATCAGAATTAAAATCTGGGTCCAAGGTTTTCACCCATGACTGAGCATTTGAATCACCTGGTGAGATTTAAGAAACGACCAGTGTCAGGTCCCCACCTAAGAGGGTCTGATTCACTTTCATGGAGAAAGGTCGGAACACACGCATTTCATCACAATCTCCCAGGGTCATTTTAATAGGCAGCCTGGCTTGAGAACCACCTGATCTATGACATTGACATTCAACCAGAGTGGACGAATTACTGTCTCCTCCTTACTTGAGGAGTGAGGGAGGGGGTCCAGGGTCTGGAATCTGGGGGAAGATTTTAGGGTTGGACTGAGGCTGAGGTTGACCTTGAGCCCCTTCCTGGGTCACCTCCTGCCCCTCCCTTTCCATTTTCCATTCACCAGAAGCTGAGTGAGGCAGAAAGAGATAACATGCTCCATCCATCTCGCCCCTCCTCAGCCGGGCGCGGTCAGGCAGGTGGGTCCATCTGCAGCAGGAAAGATCTCATGTATTTCAACTGCATCCTGTGTCACGAAGGCCAGCTCTTTATCAGCCTGTCCGGCCCTGGATTTTTATCTCTGCCATCTGCTCTGCCGAGAGTGGCAAGTGCCAAAGCTTACAAATAGTCCCAGCCTGTACCTTCATGTAGAACAGCAAAGCATCATAATTTCTGGGCTATTACCAGGTGGAACAGCTTCCTGCTAGCTAAGGTGACATGTGACAGTTGGCATCTGAACAGGTGGCTTTGCAGGACCAGCAAGAGACAGTAACTGCCACCTTGGGGCTGTGACTTTTAGAGAGAAAAGAAAAGCCACAAGCTGATGACGTTGGTGACCCCCTTGGTGTTGCCCTCCAGATCAGAGGAGAGGCTGGGGTCTCCCAGTGGGCTGGGCAGGGGGTGATTTATTTATTTAACAGAACATTTACTGCATGACAGGCACAATGCTAAGTGCTTTTCAAATTATTATTGTTATCTTTTAACAATACGAGACAAAGCGTCTTGCTTTGTCTGCCAGATTGAAGAAACTCCTGGGCTCAAGCAATCCTCCATCCTCAGACTCCTGAGTAGCTGGGACTGCAGGGTGCGCCACCACCTGGCTAATTTTTAAGTATTTTATAGAGACAGGGGTTTCACCATGTTGCCCAGGTTGGTCTCAAACTCCTAAGCTCAAATGATTCGCTGGCCTTGGCCTCCAAAGTGCTGCGATTACAGGCACGAGCCACTGTGCCAGGTGGTTTTCCAAATTTTAACTCAGTTAGATCCCCACCACAACCCTATGAGGTTAGAACTGTTATTATCTTCATTTTAACCTGGGGAAACTGAGACAAAAGGGCTAAGTAAATGACTGGAGAGCCCATAGCTAGGGAGTGGCAGAGCTTGAGATTCAGATCCAGGTGGTCTGGTTTCAGGGTCACTGCCTTGTGCCTGGGGGGACCAAGAGCCACCCTTAACCCCACTCTTGGCAGGATGAGGCTCAGTGTGTAAATGGAGGCTCACATACCCTGTGTGCAATATTGACAAGTTATGCGTCAAGCTAACAACACTATTACATGAAATCTACTCCGTTCTCCTGCCCTGAGAAGTATCTCTTCACGGTGACCTGGAAGGCCAGGTTTGCATTAGGACTTCTCTGACTCCTCTGGGTTCTGTGCTAGAACGGGGGTCACCGGGGAGCCGGGAAGCATCCTCCAAGGTGTGGGGTCCCTTCTTCCTGGATCTAGGAGCTGTGTTAGGTGAGGGACAGGGAGAAATCAGCACAGCACCTAGCTTTGTGGCTTAGGCAGGTTTTAGCCCAAACTCATGGTCCTTTGCAGAGTTCTCCTCCCGTAAGTTACTTGCCCTGTTTTTTTTTTTTTTTTTTGAGACTGAGTCTCACTCTGTTGCCAGGCTGGAGTGCAGTGGCATGATCTCGGCTCACTGCAACCTCTACCTCCTGGGTTCAAGCAATTTTCCTGCCTCAGCCTCCTGAGTAGCTGAGATTATAGGTGCGTGCCACCACTCCCAGCTTTATTTTTTTATTTTTAGTAGAGATGGGGTTTTACCATGTTGGCTAGGATGGTCTTGATCTCCTGACCTCATGATCTGCCTGCCTCAGCCTCCCAAAGTGCTGGGATTACAGGTGTGAGCCACTACGGCCCTTTTATCTTCACTCTCAAGACTGCTTGTGGAGGGTAATTGTAGACAGACATTTCCACTGACTCTGTGACCTCAGCTAGTCTCTAGGCCTCCTCAAGCCTCAATATGCTCACCTGTATATCAGGGTCATTTATAACTTCTTCCTTCCTATCTCAGTGCATGAGGGAATGTATTAATACATAACATGTGCATGGCAGGGACACCGGTGCATTCACCAACTGCCCTTTCCTTTTCCTCCTGGGAACATAATCTATGTTGTTCAGCCCACCGTGCTCTCGCAAGTGGCTGTGGGACCGAGTTCTGACCAGTAGAACGCAGACTTGGGTAATGTCATTATTTCCAAACCTGACCTACTGAAACCTTCCCCATGAGACCCTTTCTATTCTTCCCCTGCCTGCTGGCTGGATGTGAGGATTTGGCAGAAGACTCTAGTACCCAAGACAGGGTTGGTGCACCATGGCACGTGAGCTGCATCCGGCCTGTGGTCTGATTTTGTAAGTGAAGTTCCAGTGGAACACAGCCACATCT